GTTTTGCCGAAGCACGCCAAAAGCACAAATGCCGCAGGGACCGCGTGAGAGATCATATCTTCTTAAAACAGATGTGCGAATACAATCCGAAAAACATGTTAGACATGTAGTGATTTCTGTGAAGATGTGCATTGACAAAATTTATCCGCGCGGCGCTCTCAAATCCTTGCTTTCACGCCCAGGCCGTTCCGTGGTTCAACAGTTAAACACAAAGATCACGGTGATCTGGCTTTGGGATCGGGCCAACATGGACAAAGGTTAATAGCTCGAACGCGTATTTTTGTTATATAATGTGCCCCGTTAAGTTGGACCGCTTCAAGTCCGCAACATTCCGCTGCCTACCAACTCCTCAACCACTTCGACGTGATGTATGAAATTGAAAAGAAAAATACACCTGATTACACCTCATGTGAGGCGTGAAAACAGCGCTTAGCGACATCAGCGCTTATCAACATGTGAAGCACAATGGAACTTGTCATGCAAAGGGCTTGCCGCCAATATCGCTGATTCAGGAGCTGCTTAGTTTCGAGCCTTGTTCATTGGAACGCCCACGCCTTCGCCGGCTCTTGGACCAAGACTTCAGGGAATTGTGATGAATTATGTCTTTCTTACTTTTCAAGTTGTGGCGCCGCTGCCATTGAAACGCTTCGTATTTCCTCCCCGGCGACGCAAAAAATCACAGAACTGGTTTGTTCCACTCACATCTTGGCATCAATGACACACACTGACACTGTGGTCCCAAACCCCACCCCACCCAATGTGGAACCGAGGCATCATGTACGTGGAAGCATCAACGAGGCACGCTAACAACCACCAGCCCGAATTTCAACGCATCGGATCTCCCCAGTGGCCCTGCAGGTATCTGGTCAACCACCGCACATCTCTCACGAAATGGTCAAGAAGTGCTCGGAAACGACCAAAGCGGGAGACGGTGCATGACGAGTTTTCCCCCGTGTGGCAGCGGCCCTGCGGGGTCTTTCACACAAACACCCAAAAGCAATGGTCAAAAGAACAAGAAAGGCATGCTGACACGGCCCTGGAGACGTTTCAGGCAACCAGAAATATCGGCATTCAAAAAGTGCCTGAAAAACAAATCGGGTTGAGCCCCAAATCTTGTTTTTTTTTTGGGGGGGGGGGCCAGTATTCAATGAGAAATGTGTCGTAAAAGGCTCCGAAGAGGCCAGTTCTTTCGGTCTATTTCCCCTTTACCCAGGCTAATTAAGTGCGAATTCGAAGGATGCTGCTAGTTTTTGGATGTGTTTTGGTGCAGCAGCTTTGGTCAGAAGTTGTTTGGAAGTAAATACTTGACACTTTGAGAAGCTAGGCGGACAAAGGCCGATGCTGTAGCATACCCGCACCAACCCAGACTTTTTGACAAAACAAATGCATTTTAGCGGTCAAACACCTGTTTACCACACCCGTGCCAAATCCCCACCAAACCCATGCTTTACCCACCATCATAGAACCTGCACCCCCCCCCGCTCCAGGGAGTTTTTTTGATGACTTGTTGGTGGGTTGTCTGTGTTCTACATTTGGTGCATGCAAGCCAAACAATAGAACAATGTCTCTAATGCGTTCTGTTCTGTTGGCTTTGATCCAAGGAGGAATCTGAGGGGCTCAAACAACCCAGGTTGGAGAGTGTTTGTTGAGTGGGTGGCACCGTGAGAAAGAGTCCAGCGAACAACACCTCGTCTAATTCAATGCCGTGCCGTCATTGCGTTTTTGTTTGTTCACTGATCCTGTTTACCAACAGCGTCTTGGGTGGATTTCATTGGCCTCCGGGGTGCAAGGTTTCCTTAACAGATTCCACATACCTGTAATACAAGTGGCCAAAGCTAGCACCCCCTTTGGACGACCTTCGACCAATCAACCACCACCTGGTGCACCGACATCTTGCAGGTCGGATGGATTGAACCCGACATCTTGCCACCAAATGCTTCTCTCCTTGACCGCTGCAGATCCCTCATTGGACTTGGATGACCTGCCAAGATGTTCAGGAGTTGATGGTGAAGCAGCACAAGCAGCAAAATGCATAAAGCACATGTGTTGGGGTATTCCAATCCTGCTTTCTCAATCTGGACTGCTGAATTCCGAAGCTGAGGTCTAAGATTTCGTGTCAGGGCAAGGAAGAAAAGTATAAAAACATGTGACATGTATATAATCGACATAATCAAGTGAATTATCTGACATTATAAACTCCAGGCCACCAGGCACTCAGTTTGGATTTCTTGAATGCGCCACTTTATTTACTAGGACCACTTGCGATGAGGTCCCTTATGTTGCTGTCATGTTGTAACGGCTTTTCTGCCTCCTTTAAGTCATGTTCAACAAAACTTGCACGGGGAAATTGCACAAAAAACGCACCCGCAACCACCGGTCTGCCAAGGACCAACGAAATGTTGGGGAAAACCTCACTCGAATGCTTGGGATCTCACTCGGTGCCACTGGGCCAGGTGCCGCCTGGTGCCATGGTATATGGAACAATCCAAAAGCTCTGGTCAAGGCAAATGACACGGCTGCAAAAACAAACTATCCACCACCTCCAACAGGTTCCAATTCCATCTGACTCCCCATCCAGGCGCAAACTCAGCCCTCTAGTACGCCGCGTACGCCCATCCTATTTCATTCTCGCATGTGTGAAGGGCTCATTTCGCCAAATCCAGAACTTTCACTAAAGTTAATTACCGGATGTCCAACCGCCCATCTTCGCATTCACAGCCCCAAAAAAACGGTGCCCCCCCCCCAAAAAAAAGAAGTGTTCCGCCACTTAATTGAAATCCAAAAAACACTGTAAACAAAAAAACACGTCTCACACCCCGTGGGGGGGTTTGGTCCCCCCCCCGCGGTCTCCGCGTCCGAACGTGGGGCTTGAAACAAGGCCCCGGTGGTCCGCTCCTGTGGGAGCTCACCGAGGTCCGCCCCGTCAAGCTGCCCCGCGTCGCGGAGCCCGAACTGCGCACCTGGGGCGTGGCGTTGCGCTTCTCGGAGTTGAAAGGAGTCGACCTGTTTCCACAGCTGAACTATAATATTCCACAGCAGAAGGCGAAACTCCAGGAGTTTCAAGGTGATTGGGAGGGTCTTGAAGGGGTCTCGGCAAGACACACCCTGCGATGACCTCTCTCAGTCCCTGTCTTCGTTTTCGACCCAGTGGCTGGTAGCTTTAGCTGGCTCTCAGTGCGTGTTCGTGCGCTCGTGGGTAAGGTCGGCAGTGGGTGAGACCTGGGTGTGCCATTTTCTCTGACTCGAGAATTGGGCGATTCACAGTTGTACATTAAACCAATATGTAAATAATGTTGCTTGCCATGACTCAACTACTCTCAGTTCACATTAGCCACCAAATGCCACAAGCTAAGAAAAATTAAGGCTAAACCATGTTAAACCGGTGTGTTCAAAGTTCGTTCAGCACGAACGTCACACGAACTCGCGTCCCATTGCATGGATGCTGCATATTAAAATGTAGGAAATGGCTCGTGAGGGATGGTGACTGCTTCCAGTGAGTCTAGATTCTAGATCTTCACTCTGCGGCCAAAGGGGGAGCTCCATCATTCTCGAACATGCCGAGAATGTGCTGGAAGTAATGAAGCGAGGGCAACATAATTAAAACATCAAATACAACACCCCGTTCTTGGATTCTTGGCTCAAAATTGGAAGTGTCAAATTTATGTCTGTGGATTGGGCGAGGTCGGCCTTGTTGCCTTTGTTGCCTGTGAGAGGGGCTCAAGCATTCCTAAACACTGTCCCACTTTAACGAACACCCAGCCTTCACATACCTGCTCAAAAGCCAACAGGTCCAACCTGCATCTGCCGTGGATTGCCCCCTCTACAAGCATACAGCATTCAACTACTTTGACCTCAAACACCATCTCTTCCCAAACCCACGGATCTTCCATCTCGCCGGTCTTGTCCCATCTCCCCTTCCAGCCAGGCCCAGGCTATGCTCTATGCTCCAAGGCTCTCTCGCACTGGGCTTCTCCACCAAATTTGCGGCGACCCCTCGGGCGCGGCGCAGGGCGCACCGCTGACGCCCTCCTCTTCCACGCATGAGCCGGAGCGGCGGGAGCGCAACCGGCCGAGAACGTCGATCGGTGGAACTCACAAAGCGCGAGGTAAACAAGAAGTAAAGCTAGAAGTGCAACACTTGAGATGTGAATTCCGTATAATTCCGTAATCTTGACACTCCAAGAAAGCGCACGCAAGAAGTGCGGGAAGCAACATGCAATCCCGCAGCCATATCCTCCCGCAAGCTGACATGGTATAGTAGACCACCTGCGAACAAAAAACATATTCTTCAAAGGGCCTGGATTGTTGTTTGCAGCATTTGTTTGAAGAAGGTCATCCATCCTGCATCACTGTATGCACGCTTCGACTTGTGGGAAGACAACCAGGACAGCATCACATGGCGTGTCTGGACAGTGGCCATGAAGAAAATAGTTTGTTGGTCACAGGTGGTTTAAGACGGTTCAAGCATGTTCAAGCACCAATCCCTTCCTCCCAGCTGCCGACATGCAAACAGCCATCACCCACAGCAAACATCAGCAAACAGGGTCCTCAAGGAAGCAGTTGGTTCATTGATGGATTTAACACCCGCCACCCAGATCTGCTCTTCCGGTCTTCCAGCACGGTCGGGGTTGGCACGGTTCAGCACGGGTCGAGCTCGGTCCGGACCTTCGACGACGCCGCCCTGTTCCCCCCGCCGGTCTCAGGCGAAGCGTCGGACGAGGTCCCGGATCAGCGAGCTCACCGCCCTCTCCACACAGTTCCGCTCGATCATGGTGCGCCCTGGAGGGTTTCGGGTTGGCCGACGAGGCCGAAAAATGTTCCACCACATCGTTAAAACCAACCAGCAACCAGTGGCGTGAACTTGCTCAAGGTCTGGATCGCGTCAATTTTTTTTGTGTATATTGGAGGTTAGAAATAACCGTTACTTTTGTGAAGGTCTTGCACGACCAAGTCCTTTTGGCCCGAAGGTTTCTGAGCCTTTTTTGGGTCGGCACGGCCACATGTGGTGGCTCCGGCTGGCGGTCATCTCGACTGCGGCCGTAAGCCATGGTTGGTGGGCTGGCCCGGAAGGGCCGCCGGAGGTGGAGCCCTTGGAGGAGCAGGCTGGTTGGCGGCAGCATCTTCGGGAGTGGTTCCCGGGTGCTGAGCGAAGGCTCAATGCCACGGAAGAGTGGCTCGCTAGCCTGGCGAGCTGGGGTCGGGAGTTGGAAGGAGCCTCGACCTGGGGAAGCTGGGATGTGGCGCTGTGGATGGTCGTGGACACCCTCTTCGGCATGATCGGGTGGGCACTTTTCGGCAGCGCTTGGACTAAGGTTCGGACCGGATGCCGCCGGCTCCTCCAGGTTCTGGTGGTGCTGGGGCTCTGCCTGGTAGCTCACTATGTGTGGGCCGTGTGCTACCCCATTGTGTCGCTCTTGATCGGGGCCTGCATGGCGATGGCATGGCTACTTCGCAAAGTCCTACGAGGAGTTGGGGCCTTTGCGTTCTGGTTTCAAAAAGTTACAGGAGGCTCTCCAGAAGCCTCTGAAGCAGAGTTCTTGGGCCCTGCCACGGGACGGACACCTGAAACCTCCCAGCCTCGAGCATTCAAGAGGTCCGGTGAACAGCCCAAGTACATGGTGGTGAAGAGAGGGGAAGATGCTGCTGTCTTCGCCATCGGCATGGACTCCCAGTCCATCAAGACCCACGGCCTCTATGTCCCTGTGGAGTGCAACACGATTCGCGGATCTCCGGCTTTGGTGAGGCGGCTGCGGGACGTCGAGAAGGTGCACCTATGCCGAAACGAGGCCTGCACCGAAGAGGGAGGGGAGCACTTCGTCATGTACGGGTTAGTTCGAAAGAATGACCCGGAAAGATTCCAGATGACCCAAGCTCGAGAGGGTGCGCGCAAGGTGACCCACGACTTCTGGGCCTGGGTGAAAGGGTCCCCGTTGACCGAAGGCACCTCACAGTTGATGCATCGCCTTCGGGAATTGGGTTCCGAATCGGAGCAAGAGGAGGAGCACCTTGTTTGCTGTGGCAGCCTGGTCACATGGCGGGGCCCTGATGGAACTATGCAGTGCCTGGCCAATCGGCCGTGCAGTGTGCGTGCTCAGCATTTTGGGCAACTCCTCCAGGATGATGTCCCCACTCAGTGCGGGGCTGTTGCATTGTGCGGGGATCATGCTACTCAATACCTGACCCGACGGTATCCCGACAAGTGCAGTGTGACCTTTTGCAGAAGGTTTGGCAACAAGCTGCAGCATGGAGTGGTGTGGTGTTCAGAACATGAACCTTCAAGCCTGACACCGACGAGACCCTCTTCTACCTCAGCGCGTCGATCCAGGTCGAGGTCACGTACACGAGCGGCGGAGGACATCGACGAGGAGGAGAACGATGATGAGGAGAACGGGGTCAACAACGAGGAGGCGCACGGTGACGAGGATAGGCATGGTCGTGCGAGAAAGCTGTTGGGAAGGGCTCGCGAATGTGAGGAGCCCGAGAGCAAAGAGAGAACGCCACGTCGGAGGGGAACAACACGCTCACCTGGACATACTCCGAAAGGATCAAGCATCAGTCGAAATCTATCCCGCATGGGGATGCTCGAGTCGCCAGGTTCGGAAGGTGCCGGCAGCTTGCTGGAAGAGTTCTTTGAGATCTTTGCAGCCGGGAAGGCTGATGGACTCCGTGAAGACCAAGCGCGTAAAAAGCTGGGAGCTGACCGCCTGCTACTACCCGGTGATCTTCTTCGGCAACTGGTTGGGGAGGCGGAGAATGAGCAGGCGCAAGGACAGAGAGGGCTGTCACGTTTCTTGACCACGTGGCGGAAGGAGCTGGCTAGGTTGGGAAGGCCTCACGGAGAAGGGGAGGGATGTAGCGACTGGAGTATGGTGGAAGGTGGCAGTCAAGCCGCGTCTCCTGGGGATACTCCGGAGAAGGATGGGGATAGAGCTACATCGCTGCCTTTAGCTTCGTCTTTGAGGACCTCGGCATCCAGGACGAGACCTACGTCTGAGCCTGCACCTCCCCCTGGTCTGGCAGAACGGGGACAGCAGATGCCTCAGGTGGAAGAGAAGCGAGGTGATGGGCTACGAGTGGCACCCCCGGGGATCTATCGCCCTGACACCAGGGCCGGAGCCAGGACCGACAGTGGAACTACTGCAGAACCCGTTGTCCAAATTGCCAAAGCGATCCAACATCAAACAGCAGAATTGGCTTCTTTGGTTCGCCAACAAACCGAAGGAGCAGGAGGTCAGGTCCCCGGTACAATCCGTGGGCTCAACAAACAATCAGAAGAACTGGTCTTCTTGCTTCGGGCGTGTGGCCAGTATCAAGTGCGTGTTGGTGCGGAAGAGCACGGTCAGGCACTAGCAAACTCATTGCTGTCCGCTCAGATAGGAGCCTCGACCAAGCTTCGAGCAGCAGGCTTCCGCCAAAGGATGTCAACCCGGCTGGCAGTGGGAATTGCAGGGCCGTACTGGGGCATTCAGGAGAAGTATGGCCTGAGCGCTGCGGACTTCCTTGCCTACACGGACGCTGAGCTCGACCAGTTTGCGTCTGAGGCCAAGGTGATGAAGAACACCGACCAAAGACCTCCTCCTCCGTCCAGGTTTGATGAGTGGACCGCCCGAGTACGACGCCAGACAGATGTGTGGTGCCTGGTTTATGGGGAGGAATGGAGAGCCGTACGGAACAACGCCCTCAACCTCTTGTCGGAGTGGCATCTGTCCCATCCTCACAGGTGGCCGCTGGCCATAGTCATCGACATCTGGGAGGAGATTCACTGGCGATTTCTGGAGGAGCTCAAGGACGTGCTTCGGAGCCTCAAGAAGGAGATTGGCAGGGAGACGATCAGCCTTACCGAGCTCAAGTTCCATGCGCTACTTCCGGGACCAGATGGACAGGCATGGCTGGTGATGCCCACGACCTTCGACATTGAGAAGCCCGACTCGTGGTTCCAGACCGAGGTCCTCCCAAGGATCGAGAGGAAGCAGGACCGCCTCTTGTGGAATCTCACTTGGCAGGGCGGGGCACGGAAGGATCGCAACCCGGCAGCACCGGCAGGAGGAGCAGGGGAGAGTGCAGGAAGCTTGAGCTCGCAGTCCAAGCCCACTCTCAAGTCGTTGTGGGGGCCCAAGTTGACTCCGGAGGAGGTCGGAATGGCCAAAGATCGGGCCCCTCTGGACCACCACGGCAAGTTGCTCTGCTGGGGAAACCTGTGCCACATTGGCTGCCAGACGACAGGTTGTCAGCGCTCCCATGAAGGACTTCGCCTGGCTCACTTTTAGCCCAGGCCGAAAGGGCTAATGTTTTCCTTGTGATTACTATCTGGCATATCTTCTGACATTCTATCTGGTATATCTTCTGAACTATATGGCATCATACCTTCTGACATTCTATCTGGCATATCTTCTGACTCTGACTCTGGTGAGGGAACAGTAAGGCGAGCAACGCGTGACCTTACTAGAGAAACATGATGCCAATTGATTCTGACAATTTGAGTAACTCAGAAGTTTCACCATACAGACTAGAATGCAACTTTGTGATGTTCATAATAAATCCCGCGTTTGTCATGCGCATGCCACTGTCTAACCAAGCAGGCCGCTGACTTCATTTTTTTCTTACCGTTGCTGCTTCAGCGCCGCCCGTCAGCTCTTCCTCACCTTCTTGCTTTCAGGCTCCTTCTTTGAATCCTCACCACCAAAAAACATCAAAGATTGAAGGGCTCCCCCTGCCAACCATCTAGATACACTACTAGATACTAGAATCCCTAAGATGGCGCCAACAAACACAAAAGGAGCCGTAGAAGAACCAGAGCAACCAACTCACAAAGTTTGAAAGCAAGGAACGCTTGGGCATGGCGGCATGGCCGCTGCCGATGTGAAGATGAAGAGGAAGTGGAAGCAGCAGTCTGTAGTAGCTCCGCCTCGACCACCTGGAATGGAAAAGAAGAATCAAATCCCTCAAACAAATTGCGTAATAACAACAATTTTTTTTAAGCTTAGCATGAACCAAAACGGAATATGCAGGAATGTTTCGTTCCAAAACAGAATGCGCAGGAATGTTTCTTTCCCCTTTGCGCCTGCCTTCCTCGCTGCCCTCTCATCCTCAAGAGCATATTTGGCTTGCCACGCCAAGTTCAGCAGTGTCACATTGTCTTCTTTCCGGTTCAACACCTCACTCTTCAGCTGGTCATTCTCTGGTTTCTGGTGCGCTACGTGTTTCTTCAGCTGCTCATTCTGCACCGCCAAAAAAACTGTTGTAGCCTTTTCCCGCTGAAGCTCCTCCTGTGTTGCTACTAGCGCAGCGTGATCGTCTTCAGCCTTGTTCTTCTCTTTCTCAAGCTGCTCTCACGACGTCGTCTGGCTTTGCGATTTAAATCGCTCAGAGTTTGAATTTTTCCCATCCGGGCAAACTAGCAGAGCAGGATACAGATAGTTTCGGTACTACTTGCTGCAGCCAAGTTGGCGGTAAGGACACAAAAGAAATTACATGTGGTTTCCCTGGAGAACCGTTTTTTTCCAAAACATGCCTTTATTGCTTTTCCGATTGTCTCACGCATTCTTTGCTTTCATGAACTGTGCTCTGAGTTCAGGCTGGTCAGGAACTGCCGAACTAAGGAAGACTAAGGATTCGACATGCTAAGGGCCGGACTAAGGATCCCAAGCGCACTGAAGGACTATCTGCACAAGGCGCGAAAAAAAATAGAACATATAGGCCCCGCTGAAAAGTGGATTAGCCCTGAAAAGGGCATTTTTTTTTTGGACCTGACAGTTTTTTGCCGGACTCTCTGTGGACTGCATGACCACAAGATTTGGAGAAACCAAATCTTGGCTTTAAGTTGAACTTCATATAAGTTAAACTTACCCACCAAAACTTGGCCAACACCAAGTTTTGGAGGGCAAGTTCAACTTATATGAAGTTGAACTGAACCGCACCAAAACTTGGAACCCAAGTTTTGGAGTATAAGTTGAACTTACCCACCAAAACTTGGCACCACCAAGTTTTGGAAGGAAAGTTCAACTTATATATATATATACATTGAACTTGCCCACCAAAACTTGGAACCCAAGTTTTGGAATGTAAGCTGAACTTACCCACCAGAACTTGGCACCACCAAGTTTTGGAAGGAAAACTCAACTTAAATAAAGTTGAATTTACCCACAGAAACTAATTTGGCATCGCCAAGATTTGGAGGGAAAGGTCACTCAGCACGATAACTTGGATTATCCAAGTTTTGGGGTTGCTTGGGGGGAGGAGCTCGGCGCTTAGCTCACCACATTGAACTGAGTTTCCGTTCAGAGCATGGTCTTTTTAAGGTGCAATTCCTTGGTTCGGCCAACCAAAGAAAACTCATGAAAGATGATTAAGGTGGCTTGTTTTCACTCTCAGGCTCACTTATTCTCATGTCGACTAACGCTCTCATCTGATTCATCCTCACTTCACTCAACCTGGTTTGCCTGCACTCAGGTTCGCTGTCATTCTTGTTCAGTTGCATTCAGATTTATGCTCATTCTTGAAAATTCATGCCCTCAGTAGGTAGTGCACACTTATTTGTATATAAATCTCTTTTGCTGAACAGTTGAACCAGAAAAGCTACAGCGGCCTGATTGGAACAATTGTTGTTTCCGAATTTGTTGTCAGAAACTTTTGGTGACCTCGGGCCCCAGGCGCTGGATCAACGGTGGTGGCATCGTGATGGTGGCCGCAGGACCTTGGGGTCAAACTCCAAAAAAAAGTGACAAGGTTGTGTGAATAGCTTGAACTCATAACAATCTTGAACTTGTCAGCTTGCAGACTTGCATGGTATGCATTGAAGTTGATTGTACAATCTTGAACTTGTCAGCTTGCATGGTATGCATTGATTGTGTCACCGTCGGCAATTTCAGGGATGGGGCGGTTGAATGACATCATGAGCAACAACAACCGGTCAGCACGGGATATATCCCACAAGGTTTCCTACAAGTACCTAGCAGTACACCAAAAGTAGACTCATCCACTTGAAAAGGTGCTTAACACATCACTGGCGATCAATGTGTACAACATTCAACAAGAACATTGTGCCCAAAACTTGGCCCCTCTAAGGTTTGGAACTCCACTAAGACATGGAACCCAAAACTTGGCCCCTCCAAGGTTTGGAACTCCAC